CATTATCTTATCATTATATTTAATATTAAAAGTAGAACAATTTTAATAAAAGGCTGTGAGAGTCAACACAGTTATCAGTGCAATTATCTTACATTTATTAAAATTATTATATAAACCTTGATGTGATGTCAATGAGCGCAACCACAATATAATACGATTTTAAAATCACTCAAAGTCAAAATCGTATTATATTATGGTTGCGCTCATTAATATCATATCAAGGTTTATGTAATAATTTTAATAAATAAAAGATAATTGCACTGATAAATGCGTTAATTTCCAGTTTTTTATTACAATTGTTTTACTTTTAAATTTGTGAATTCTCCTTTCTATTGTTTATTAATTAAAAGAATGACTGTACTAATAAGTCCTGTATCAATTTCATTTAGAAAACGATGGATGGTCGGCTAAAGTAATGACAGCAGAGCATAACGCTGATAATCGCACGGAGGTAGAGAGAATCTTATCGGAGCATCCACCAAACGAGAGATCGACTGTGATTAAAATGGAAAGACTGCTTGGGCAATTAGCGCCACTTCGCTCATTAGGTGATTTTCGCTACAAGTGGACTAAGAATATTATGAAGGAAGTCGTGGTACCATTCCTCGGCGAGACGGCGATTCCTCCGAATTATAATACACCGCCCTATTTAAGCGCCAATCCGGAGATCAAATATCACAGACTGACGCCGAGGGATAAATTTCTTATATTAGCTAGTGACGGACTATGGGACCTGATTTCACCATTACAAGCGGTACGCTTGGTAGGAGAACATATGAGTGGAAAAGTTACGCTCAGTCCATTCAGATTACCTCGTAAAAATATGAAATTGTCGGACATAAATGAAATGTTGTTGCAACGCAAGGAGGGCTTGAAGAAAAAACCTCTTGATAGCAATGCAGCGACGCATTTACTGAGAAACGCTTTAGGTGGTACAGAATACGGAATAGATGATGCCAAATTGTCACAATTGTTGACTCTGCCGAACGAAGTGGTTCGAATATTTCGTGACGACATCACCATAACGATCGTTTATATGGATTCAGAATTTTTAAGACATTGTCCTCCCTGAAACTGTCGCCATTTCTCACTATTTTTTAATACTGGTGTATATCAGTATACAGCTTGTTATTTATTTAGTTAACAATAAAAACAATTTACATGAAAACAGTATTCTGAATATTAGTAATATGTATGTAATATGTTACATAACACTCGCGTTACTCCATCGATTTCAGTTAGTGAAACGTTTTTTAATTGGCTAACACACGATTCGATTCAGACTCTCTACGAATGATTCCGTGTTAAGCCCACTCGAATTATAATCGAGACATTCGGATAGTAATACACAAGAGTGTTTGAAACTATAATCAAAGGTGATTAGGAAGTAGCTATATAAAATCTATGATTTACAATTAATTTGTTAGGTACTTATTATAGTGATTACAATAGTGATGCATTAAACACAGAGTTTGCCATATACCTCGCAAATGTATCACCAACATTTTTCCTACTTTGCAGTTTATGATCAAAAGTAATCAACCTCTTGTTTGACTGCTTGATAAAAGTTAAGAATTTTTTATCTCAAAATATATGGTTTATTTCGTAAGTGTCATTTTTACTAAATAAATAAGCAATAAGCTTATGTAATACCAGATTGTAATCGTTGTTACGCTTAAAAAAAAGAAGAGATCTAAAGGAGACGAGGGAAAAAAACTCGTTTCCAAATATAACTTATTTATACAGATATTATCAAGCGAGTATCATAAGAGGAATAAGGCAAGCATATATAACTAAAAATATTTGTTGAATTATAAATCTGTTTACTTAATAACTAGAGAGTTCAAAAGACTCTCTCAACCCTCTTGACCAAAATCTTCCTTAAATTTCTCTAACTTTCCCAAATCTTCTTCATTTACCGTAGGACGGGTCGTTGCTAGTGATTTCAACATATCTTTCTATAAAATGATAATAATATATATCAGATAAAGACACTTCTCATATACACATACATAAACATAAAATATATTTAAAAAATAATATAACTAAAGCCCTGTGCACAATGGAGGAAATATCAGGAACAAGTAGAAATATTAGGCTCAGTTTTTCATTACCTGATTAGGCTTACCCAGGCCTAAATATAAAAGAAATAAAAAAAATTAAAAATTGAATTATATCATTTTATTTATATCCATTGTGCATTACGTTTGATCTCTGTTCCTAATTTTTTAATTTCTCTAATATTCAATTTATTCCTATTCCTAATATTTCTTTCAATGTGGGCAGGGCCTAAAAAACGAGTATTTTTTATAAATCTTACCATGGTAACTGGTGGCTCGAATAATTTATCACCATCTACTTCCATCCAATTCATTTCTATGGCAGCAGGGTCACCAGGAGAGCACGGAGTAAGTAAATCGTCGACGATAACATCAGGATCCTTAGGCGACGGTCCTTTAACCCGCTTAAAGTGTGTAGCTGTTTGCACTTGTCGGATTGGCTGCATTAGAGCGTCTCGTACAATGATGCTTATATCAGCTCCCGAATAACCATCGGTAGAAGCCGCTAACTTCTTAAAATCTTCTTCCGTCAAACAATGTGATGTATTACCCAAGTGGAGCTTGAACATAGCAGAGCGCGCCTGTCTTTCGGGCAACGGAATGTAAATTCTTTTTTCAAATCTTCGTCTAATTGCAGAATCCAAGACCCAAGGTATGTTCGTGGCCCCCAGCACAAGTATATTCTCGTTATTGTTCCCTACACCTGTTTTATATATACAGATAAAAATTAGTCCAACTGTATTTTGTGTTTAATTTGGCAAAAACACACAAAATAGAAAAATATTTGAAAACGTACCTTGCATCTGAACTAGAAATTCTGTTTTTATTCTCCTTGCGGATTCTGACTCATTGTCTGATCGGGACGAACAGAGAGAATCTATTTCATCAATAAATATAATGCTACGTTCCTTTTGTCGTGCTAATTCAAACAGATTTTTTACAAGCTTCTCTGACTCTCCTAACCATTTGCTTACTAAATCCGACGATGACGCAGAGAAGAAAGTAGCTTGATTAGCTTCTGTTGCCACTGCCTTCGCCAAATATGATTTACCGGTTCCTGGTGGCTAAATAGCGAATTAAAAATTAAGAATATGTCTCGAGAAAATAAATATAGTTAAGTTCATCGTATTATAAAATTGCTTACCCCGAATAACAAAATACCTTTCCAAGGTATGCGTCTGCCAGTAAAGAGATAAGGAAAGTGCATAGGTAAAATAACAGCTTCTTTTAAAGCTTCTATGGCTCCATCGAGACCAATCACATCGCTCCACTTAACGTTTGTGTTTTCATTAATTATAACGCCTTCCAATTTACTTTGCAATTTCTTTTTTTCAGGATCACCGTCAACGTCACTGTCACCACTGTCGCTCTTCTTATCCTCATTCTTGGAGTTGTCCGCTCCAGCCTTAACTGGCTTTTTCTTATTCTTCTTCAAATATTCTTTTAGTTTTTCTGCTCTTTCTAAATACTGCATACATTTTGCTCTTATACTTTCCTTCACCTTGTCTCCATGCGTCTCATCTGAAATACATTATCAAATCAATTATGTTAACTTTAAATATTCATATAAAATAGTTAGTTCATTAACACACAATAAATTATTAAACTTGCATATCATACTGTTTATTTAAGGCCTTTTTCACCAACCCTGATTAATTCTAATCAATGATTAACCCAATCACTACCAATGTGAGAACTAAATACAAAAGAAGAGAGAGGGGGGGGGG